CATTTAGTCGGGTAAGGGTTCCATTTTGAAGTGTACAACACTTAGGATGATGGTTTGTGCTAAACTAGATACATAAATTGCAGGCTCAGCCGGGTCTATGCATCTAGGCAATGGGCCAGGTTGTTACGAAGTGATGTAACACTAAGTGACAAGGATTTGTCAACCTGATGATCTAAGAGAAGATATGGAGATATTGTTAATAAGATCAACCAACTAGATAAGTTTGTTTTGCAGGCTCAGCCGGAGACTAATGGACCTAGTCGTTCTCTTAGCCCACTAAGGATGTCGTTGTGAAGGATAACCCTAAATCAATCACCGAGGGTCATTGATTTTAGATAAAATAGTGGGAGGGCCATATACGTTTTAAAAGTCTCTGTATTTGGTTATTATCATGAAATACTTATGTAATTTTATCTTTATTTTTAGAAATTGAGTTATGGCCAGAAATTTGAATTTACGCTCTATTCTGGATACTAACAAGTTATCTGGACCAAAATTCACGGATTGGTATAGGAATGTAAAAATAGTTTTACGTTCTAAAAAGATAGCATATGTTCTGGATTCTCCTGTTCCTGTTGCCCCTGCTGAAGGGCAAGATGGGTATGACCAGTATGACTGGGAAGCTCATAGACAACATTTGGCAGACAATGAGCAGGCAGTATGTATATTGCTTGCGTCTATGTCTGCGGAGCTTCAGCGTCAGCATGAGCATATAGATGCTCCCTCCATAATCTTGCATCTGCAAGAGCTTTATGATAAGCGAGGGAGGGCTGAGCGCTTTGAAACCTCCAAGGAGCTGTTTGGCTGTAAGCTGGCTGATGGTATGGCGGTTGGACCGCACATCCTTAAGATGATTGGTCTGATAGAGAAGGTTGCTTCTTTGGTTTTTATCATGGACCATGAGCTAAGTGTTGACTTAGTCTTGCAGTCCTTGCCACCTTCATTTAATGGCTTTGTGGTCAACTACCATATGAACAAGGTGGAGACAACACTCCCAGAGTTGTTGAATATCTTGACCACTGCTGAGGGTGCTGTTAAAAAGAACAGGACCCAAGCTCTTCTGATTAGCGGGCCTAAAATGACCAAGGGTAAAGGCAAGTTTGTAGAATCAGACAAGCTCAAGCCCAGAGGTCAGCCCAAGAATAAGAAAGGCAAGGGCAAAGGGAAAGGAAAGGAGAAATCCAAGGACAATGCTAAAACTGTATGCTTCCATTGTCATAATGAAGGACATTGGAAGAGGAAATGCCCATTATTCCTTGCGAGCCTCAAGGGAAAGAAGCATGATGATGCTTCAGCCTCTGGTATGTTCACTACAAAAATTAATTTTTCAAGTGTTGATTTAGCTTCATGGGTAATGGATACTGGCTGTGGATCTCATATCTGCAATTTGTTGCAGGTACTAAATAGTCCTAGGAAGCTGGAAAAGAATAAGGTCAATCTCCGCGTCGGGAATGGAGCAAGAGTTGCTGCACTAGCCGTTGGGGATGTGGATCTTTTGTTGCCTACGAGCCTTTCTATACATTTGAATAATTGTTTCTATGTTCCTCCTTCTCCCCTTGTGCGCACAGCCACTGTTAGGAGGGCTGGACTTGCTGTTTCGTGGAGCAAAGGAAGTTGGGGTGTTGCTCCTTGTATCTTTCGCGGTGCTAGGTGTGCATGCAAGAGGTAAATTGAAATTTAGAACCCTCTCTTCCTCTCCTCCGTTCGGTTTGCAAAACATGATTAGAGAGTTAGTTTCTTTAAATTCCATCTCTTTGTTTCTTGAACAGCCATTCGGTTTGCTCCTTGTATCTTTCTGCCGTATTGAGCCTCTTGAACCTTAGATTGAAAACTTAAAAATGAATTGGAACGATGAGCTTGGAAATGGCCTTCTATTAAATTGTGGGACTGTTTTGGTTGGAACTTTGGGATTTGTTTCGCTGCTAAACATTGGTAACATCATTGTAAAGTCAGAATATTGTTAGGGAAGAAAGCATGGTGAAACCGAATGGATATGCATGTGGGAACTAGGGAAAACCTTGGGTATTGTTGCTGTACAAATTTAATAAATTTAGTTGAAGTCAGAAAATTTACTTCCTTAGGAGAACCATGAAGAAAACCGAACCTGTACATGTTATGAACCTTGGAAAAATTGTAATTACTAGCTATGTATGAAATAACCTTAAGGGCAGTAAATAATTAGCACTAGAAACCTTATAATTCGATGAAAGTACATGAATTAGAAGCCTGGAAATTTTTGGTGACTTATAGAAATAATTGTATGAAATTCTGATTTGGTGCATTGGTATATTAGGTGCGCAAAACTCTTAAGACCTTGGACCATTTCGCTGCTGTTTGGTAATTTTATTTGTGGCACGCGAGGTAAGTGTTAGGTGGCATTACCTTTTGTGACTACTAGCTAGTATATGTGTAACATCCCAAGAGATGGCAAGGGCATGGAGAGATCGCCGGTGCGAAAGGGCACGGACAATGAGCGGCTCATGCCAAATCTTGCAACATGGGGGTTCACGAGTGAATCGAATCAACACCCGAAAGAGAGGGATTCCAGAGACTGTACTGGTATGGGACGATACAGTTAAGAATGACTTATAAGAATTAATTGGTACTACCTATACTAACAAGATGCATCTACTTTTCGGTAGCCCGGATCGGAAGAACTCCACAGTTAAGCGTGCTTGACTTGGAGCAATTTTGGGATGGGTGACCTCCTGGGAAGTTTTCTCGGGAATTGTGCGAGTGAGGACAAAGCACATTGAAAAGTCCCGTGTTAGTGTGTGGGGACAGTCATTGATTCTTGTAAGTGGCCGGGCGTTACAAGTGGTATCAGAGCAGGGCCTCTCTTCCAGTACGGTGTGGTTCGAGGACGAACCAGGAGGAAGCTGGTGGGCATGTAACATACCAAGAGCTGGCAAGGGCAGGGAGTGATCGCCGGTGCGAAAGGGCACGGACAATGAGCGGCTCATGCCAAATCTTGTAGCATGGGGGTTCATGAATGAATCGAATCAACACCCGAAAGAGAGGGATTCCAGAGACTGTACTGGTATGGGACGGTACGGTTAGGAATGACTTATAAGAATTAATTGGTACTACCTATACTAACAAGATGCATCTACTTTTCGGTAGCCCGGATCGAAAGAACTCCACAGCTAAGCGTGCTTGACTTGGAGCAATTCTGGGATGGGTGACCTCCTGGGAAGTTTTCCCGGGAAGTGTGCAAGTGAGGACAAAGCACACTGAAAAGTCCCGTGTTAGTGTGTGGGGACAGTCATTGATTCTTGCAAGTGGCCGGGCGTTACAATATGGGATTGTGAATGGTTGCTCTCATGTGCCTTGGATTCGAATTTTGTATAGGTTATTTGTACTGTGCCCATGGACATGACATGCTGGATATTCTGTTTTGGAGAGTAATTGTTATTCAGCATCTTGGTATTGGAAATCAATGAGATATATGCTATTTGAATATTATCTAGTCATGCATACTCATATCATAATTTTAGCTGTTTGTTTGGTGTGCGAATCATAACATAGCATTTATGCATAAGTTTCATGCTGATTTCTGAACACAAATTAATAAGCATACGTTTGAGCACGCATCATATAGGCATCCCTCCGGTACCAGGGTATGGGACACTTGGCTTCAGTCCGCATAGGTCGCAGTTGGAATCCTCTTGAGGAGACACCTATGGAATCTCCACTGTGCTTGTTAGTACGTGCACCGTAGTGCTATGAACGTACACCTTTGACGTTATATACGCACCCTTTGGCGTTATATACGCACTATGATTATTATTAGTATTTGTCGGATTAAATTGATGATGCAACTGTGTTATAATTCTGTATCTAGTTAGTACTGTTGCATTACTGGTTTTTCTATCACACTACTGGGATTTTTCTCACCCTTCTTGGGGCTCAATTTTCATAAAATTGCAGGAGGACAAGATGACGTTATTATTTTGGATAATTGCTGTTGATTGCTGCTGATTGGAATTCCTGCTGTTGTCTGTTTTATTTGTTGGAAGCTAGCTGACTTTGTTATATTGATGTAATATTTTGGGGAACATGGACTACTGTTGGAACATGCTTTAATCTGCTGTTTTAAGGTTTTATGGTCTGTTTGAATTTTGGAAGATTCTGATTACGTTTTGCGAAAAACAATTTCTTAACGTTTTAACTGCTGTTTCCAAAACTGTTTGCGAGCACCTTGCGAGTTATGTTTCGTGGGGCTGCAGACCTCCGATTCGCTTATAATTTATATAAACGCGAAGCCCCACATGTCTAGTTTCAGATTATATAAACTTTACAATGGAATTTTGAAAACTTGATTTTAAACGATTTTTTACAAGGCAGCAAGGTCTGTCAGGAAAATTAATGTTTCAGCAAGTAATGTAATTTTTGTCTAAATGTCACACGGTTTATTTTTAGACCAGATTTGAATACGAAAAATTTAAGGAGCCTTAAAACCCAAATTTCAGAACTTACTCGTTAGCATTTCGACTCTAATCCGCTTAGCAGACAACTCCCTCGGATGCATACAGGGGATGATGTCACACTAAATGTTATCAGAGCAGTTTTGGTTCATGGTGTCTGTTTGCTTGTTGAATTGTTTGCTGCTTGCTGAATTGTCTGCTGATTGTAATTGACTGCTAAATAAATTGTTGTCTTTTGTGTGATAAAATGTTTAATTGTTTGATATATTAATTGTTACAACTAGACCGTTAGACTTATACAGTGATAGGGACAGATGCATTATCAACTTATCTGATTTGAACTCGAGTACCTACTTGGGATTGCTGTCATGAATAGCTTGCAGTGAGTTTGATCAGCTCATTTCGTGGTATTATGAGTGCAGAAACATGGCAGGTACCCGCGGTTCTACTCAGGGAAGAAATAATACTGCAGCTGACGACGTTATCACTACTGTTGGGGGGTTGGCCACTTTTGTCCAGAACTTGAGTCAAGAGTGGCGAGAGTATAGGTAGCAGAATCCGGACCAACCCCAGATGCAGGACAATGCTGAGGAAATTGCCAGATGGAGGTTGAAAGACTTCCGAAACTTTCAGCCACCTACATTTGAAGGTGGAGATAATCCTGAGACTGCTGCCAGATGGTTGCAGATGATCGAGCACATATTTGAACGCATGGGATGTCCAGAAGCCCAGAAGGCTAACTACGCCTCATACTAGCTGATTGGTGAAGCTTTGACTTGGTGGACCAGTGCGAGGGCTTTGCTTCGAGCTCAAAATGTTGATCTGACTTGGGCGATGTTCAGACGGGTCTTTCTCGACAAGTATTTTCCTAAGGCGATGAGAAGAATGAAACACACAGAGCTGCTGTCACTAAGGCAGGATAACATGACTGTCAATGAATACATTTCTAAGTTCGGGCAGCTGATGGAATATGCAAATTTTGATCGGAACATCTATGACGAAGAGTGGCAAGTGGAAAAATATGAAAGTGGATTGCACCCGGAGATCCGGAAGCTCATGCTGACTACAGCTAATCGTACTCTACCAGAATTAATTAATCAGAGTCGACAAGCGGAAGAAATTATCAATGAAGCAAAGAATTTGTCTAAGCAGCCAATGCAATCCCAGGGAGGAAGTAAAGTGGGCCGGTTCTTCAGAAAGATTACAGGAATGAATAGAGGCAAGGGTCCGTAGTTGCAAGCTCAGACTGGTAACTTCAAGATGAATAATGCTCCTGGACAATCTTCAGTTGGACGACAGGGTCCCAATGCTTGTGCTAATGTGGAAAGAATCATGCTGGAGTCTGCCGACGGGGGAACAATTTGGGCTACGGGTGTGGACAGTCGGGACACTTTATTTCCGATTGCCCACAGAATCCTAATCGACCTCCTACTCAAGCTCGGGTGTTCACCTTTGATGCAAATGAAGCTCAGAAGTATCCTAATCTGATTCGAGGTAATGTAATTTTGAATGGCTATCCAATACCTGTTATTTTTTATTCTTGAGCATCAAGTTCTTTTATGGCAAAACACACTGCTATGAGAATAGGCATCACCCCGGCTCCGTTACCGTATGAGTTACAAATCAGTACTCCTATTGGAGGATCTTGTACTGCATCAGAAATCTGCAGAGGTGTTATTTTGCAATTTGAAGGAAACACTTATACAGTGAATTTAGTGGTTCTACCGGTATTCAATTTTGAGGTGATTATCGATATGGGCTGGTTGGCAGAGAACGAAATAACTTTGGACTATCAAGCAGGGAAGGTCATTGTTCCTTCAAAAGATGGTAATTTTCAGTCCTTTGCTACTATTTCTTTATTACAAGTTAGAAAAGAGCTCCTTCTGGAAGCTGAAGGTTATCTATTGTTGATTGAGTCCGAGAGTACGGTTGATACTCAACTTCAGAATGTTCTGGTTGTTAATGAATTCGAGGAGGTGTTCCCTGATGAAATTCATCGATTACCTCCTCATCGGGAAATAGAATTCCCCATTGAACTTTTTCCTGGAGTTGGGCCTATTTCCATTGCTCTTTACCGTATGGCACCGTTAGAACTTCGGGAACTGAAGAAGCAAATAGAAGAGCTAGTGTCAAAAGAATTCATCAGACCCAGCACTTCTCCATGGGGTGCTCCAGCAATTCTTACTAAGAAGAAGGATAGTAGTCTGCGTTTGTGTGTGGATTACCGTCAACTGAACAAAGTGACAGTGAAGAATAAGTATCCGCTTCCTAGGTGATGAACCAAGGGTTTATCACAACAAAAACTTGTTGCGGATCTAGCAAATGTACTAGTCGTACAAGTAATAAAATGATGAGTAAAGATCGTTCCCACGAGGATTTGTGTCAAGCACTGACTAACCATATGTACTTGAGTTGAATCAAACAAAAGTTCATAGATTGAATAGATTTCTTGTCACCAGAAACTACACTGAATTGAATTAAAACTTGATAAATAAATAAAATGTAAATTATAATGTAAACAAGTAGTCAGATGTCATTTTCCCTAAAACATGAATTTATAGATGAACCAATTTCCATTATGAATTATCTACTATGTGATGTTGATCAACCTTTCTCTTATCATCTCAAGATGTAATCCCTTACTACCCTGATAGACACATTAATCAGAAACCCCAATCCCTTGGTGATTCCTTTCTTAATACATGCATTAATTACTAAGGTCTTAAGATCACATCAGAATCCTAGCATCAATCCCTTGACTACTAGAACACTGATGATGAAGTTGTCAAAAATAGAGAAACAATGTAAACATGTCTGTTCTACACTATTCCTCAACATGAAGAATTAATCAAGACAACTTTATACAATCACCTAATAGATAAACAAAACATCTAATTAACCATTCATAAATTCAAACTTGAGTTCCATTGAATCAGACTACAAAGGACTCTCCTAAGACATAATTGAAATACAAACAAGAGAAGAAAGATCAAACTCCATTGACATGATAGTTGAGTCTTCAATCTCCAAGTGCAATTACATAAGAAATACTAACTATTACAAGAACAATTCCTAAGAATTTGGAAATTCAGAGAAAATGAGGAGTCAGATCAGATCTATGAAAGACCTGATCTGATCTCCCTTCTCCTAGTGTGATGGGAAAAGTCAGAATGAGATATGATAAGATTGGATTGTATGTCAGAGTATGAAGGCCCATTGTCCTTTTATAGTTTACAAATTACAACTGAAAACTGACTTGGGCTCTAAAACGTTCACTTATGGGCGTTTTAGCGTCCAACTTTGACGGATGCCCAACTGCTTTCAACTGTCTTGGGCGCTAAAATGTTCGATTTGGGCGTTTTAGTGCTCACGACCATAACCTTTTTGGCTTCATTTTGCAGCAGGGCGCTAAAACTCTTGACTTTGGGCGTTTTAGCGCCCAACACTTAGAATTTTCCCATTCTTCAGAATCTTCTTCCTTCTCTGTTTTGCTTCTTGAGCTTCATTTCCCTACAAAAATAATTTAAATTTTCAACATAAGCTTTAGAACTTGTATTTGAGAGATTTCCAGGACATTAACCTCTTTTCCATCCATTTAATCACACAATTTGATATTAATTCATGCTTAAAAACCTGATGAACCAAGGGTTTATCACAATTCCCAGATTTGAACATTGCTGTCCTCAGCAATGAATTAAAAACAGAGAAGAAATTGAGATTCTTTACAAATGAAATTCATGAGGATGGACTTCAATTAACAAAAGATCAACATTTTATGATACAAGCTTATAACCATGCAATCTCTTATTTCCTATGATTTTCCCAACATCATTTGTGACTTTTCAACAGATCAGTAGAGATGATATACAGAGACTTCCAAACAACAACACCCCCTCACTAGGAACTTCTCAAAAATTATGAGAATTTGACTCTCTTGCACTCTAGTGTTTAAGGGTGAACTTATCATTCACTCTTCACTGCACTCAAACTGCTATAAGCTTGCCCATCTTCTCACTATTCATAGTAACAATGATCCATAAGGTAGATAAAAAAGGTTTTGGTATGATTAGCAATGAGGCTTGGTGTGTGGCTTGACTAGAGGTAAGGATTTCTGTGAAAGGGGAAAGTCAGATCAAATGAATCAGATTCAGATAAGAGGGAATTCACAGTAATTAATCAATTTCTTCCTAATTCCCTCAACTTTCTTCCTTTTCATTCCTTGTTATTTTCTTTGAACCTTTCTTCCTCCTTTTCTTCCTAACACTTTGTGTCTTTAACAAAAATTTTCTTTTTCTTTTTCTTTCTTTTTCTTTTTCTTTCAGACACTTTGTGTCTTTAATACTTCCCTCTGTCTCTTCCAAACACTTTATGTTTCACAACCTTTTCTTTATTTTCCTTATTTCTTTCTTATGTTTCCAACACCTTGCATTCACTTATTGCAAAAATGCTTTCCTCCCCACAGAACACTCCATCCCTTATCACTTATCTGAAACTTTTAATCTGAAGGATTGGAATAAATGTGGTTCTTGGCTTGATAGACAACATGCTAGGCTCAAGTGTTTCATGCACTTGGAACTTAAAGGTTGGCCATTTGACTTTCTGGTTCAAGAAGAAAATGCCTCTACCCTACACATCATCAACCATTTCAAGCAAGAAACATGAGCTATTCATGTAGTGAAGTGCTCTCTGAATAAAATTTTCTGTATAGGCTCAATTTCCTCACAGTTCAGTTTCTGTACAGGCTCAATTTCCTCACAGTTCAGAGTGCATGTTTGACTTTCTCTATATGCATCAAAACTAATCTTTCTACTCTTACACATTGAATGATTCATGCAATCATTTCATTTAAGCTCAACATGCAAGGTATAAGATTTTATCCTTTAATTTGATCAATCATATAAAACTTTGATCAGTCAAATCCTCATGGAATTCCATATCACAACTGAAATCCAAATTCAATATTACAGCTAAAATCTAAATAACACAGAAAACTTAAAAACAAAAAGAAAAAGATTGAGATATTTCCCTGTTTTGGCTCATCAATTTGTGTGACATCTCCATGATGTTTGCATGCCATTCATTCACACCCAATTCCCAGATTTGAACGTTGCTGTCCCCAGAAACTAATTCAAATCTGAAACAGCAATGGATCACTGAAACACATTCATTTATAAACCAATAACATCAGTACTATCATAATGTCCATCATGCAAAAATAGTGAATATCCCAATGTACTTAACTGAATTACAAAACTAAACTAACAGCAAAATAAAACTAAGAGAAAACTACCCAGAAACATGTAAATCATATAAGTGGACCAACGCTAAAACATTGAAATTAAGCGTTTTAGCGCTGGTCTCCAGAGACATGTGCACATTGATGTGCGTCGCATCGCGCTAAAACGGTAACGTCTGGACGTTTTAGCACTCTGGACCAGAAAGAACAAATCCCCGGCAACGGCGCCAAAAACTTGTTGCGGATCTAGCAAGTGTACTAGTCGTACAAGTAATAAAATGATGAGTAAAGATCGTTCCCACGAGGATTTGTGTCAAGCACTGACTAACCATATGTACTTGAGTTGAATCAAACAAAAGTTCATAGATTGCATAGATTTCTTGTCACCAGAAACTACACTGAATTGAATTAAAACTTGATAAATAAATAAAATGTAAATTATAATGTAAACAAGTAGTCAGATGTCATTTTCCCTCAAACATGAATTTATAGATGAACCAATTTCCATTATGAATTATCTACTATGTGATGTTGATCAACCTTTCTCTTATCATCTCAAGATGTAATCCCTTACTACCCTGATAGACACATTAATCAGAAACCCCAATCCCTTGGTTATTCCTTTCTTAATACATGCATTAATTACTAAGGTCTTAAGATCACATCAGAATCCTAGCATCAATCCCTTGACTACTAGAACACTGATGATGAAGTTGTCAAAAATAGAGAAACAATGTAAACATGTCTGTTCTACACTATTCCTCAACATGAAGAATTAATCAAGACAACTTCATACAATCACCTAATAGATAAACAAAACATCTAATTAACCATTCATAAATTCAAACTTGAGTTCCATTGAATCAGACTACAAAGGACTCTCCTAAGACATAATTGAAATACAAACAAGAGAAGAAAGATCAAACTCCATTGACATGATAGTTGAGTCTTCAATCTCCAAGTGCAATTACATAGGAAATACTAACTATTACAAGAA